GCGTACGACGTTCTGAAGGATGGGATCTTTCAGTTCTATATCCCCTCTAACGAGGAGAGCTTACGCCAGTTGCTGGTTCGTCGCCCGATTGGTGACACGACGCCAAGCAGGCATCTGGCGCGTCTACGCTCGCTAGCCGGCCCAGAAAACACCCACTCTGACATCTTCAGAGAGCATTGGCTCGAGTCGTCGCCACGTCACGTCCAACCGACGGCAACGGCTTTTCTGGAGGACCCTCAATCGACAAAGCTGTGTCGTTTATCGAAAAGATAATTGCACGTGTAGGTAATCAGGACAACTTCCTCGTTGCTACGACATCGCAATTGCACAGGGGGAATAGGGATAATTATGCGGTACGGCCTTCACAGCAACGATCACAATGCGTACACAACCGCTTGTCCTTCAAGGACAGAGTTCCGGTGTCTACAGCGAACCCCTAGAGGGCTAACCCTAGGCTTGAACGGGCATCACAGCCTGCCCACGTTCGCCGAAAGCAACCAAAGGCTCAGAAGCCACCCCAGCGCAAACCACTCAAAGCCCTGGATGACCCCACCGAGGGTTACCGCTGGTTCCATCGTAGCTATGGACCAGGAGCTCCAAGTTACAGGAAGCCCTGTACCTACGCGACGGGAAATGGGTAAGCCGCCGAGTAAAACTGGCCGTACCCGCCAGCCCTCCTCAGGTTGGCTGTCTGTTTTTCGTACGTGACCATCATACGAACGCTAGGTTCTTCGTGGATACGGGCGCTTAAGTTTCAGTCTTTCCTGTTGGTAGCAGCAAGCCACGATCTACGATGCTTCGGCTATGCACGGCGAATGGCACTCCCATTCCTACTCTAGGAAGAAGACAACTCATGGTCAACCTGGGAGGGCAACGACGGTATCCATGGACGTTCATTCTTGCGAGTGTTTCCACTGGAATACTGGGTATCAATTTCTTACAGTGCTATGAATTGCCTGTCGATTCACGTAGACTGCAGTTGATCAACTCAACGTTGAACATTAAATTCACAGGTCTCAAAGCTCGAACCAACGTTTACCGACTCACGGGTTTAATGCTTGATATCCCTGTGGATTTCCAGACATTGATTGCCCGATTACCCACGTTGACTAAACCTATTAAAGATTTCACACTATTGGCTGATCGTATTGCACAGTACATAGTCACTAAGAGGCCACCAACCACTGCACAATCTCACCGACTGGCATCGCACAAATAAGATTTTGCTAAGAGTGAGTTAGACACGTTATTTTTAAAAGGTATCGTACGTCAAGACCTGACCTGACCTTGCCCGCGTGCTTCGAATTTTGGAGTGGAACGTTCCGCTGTATAATTAGGCCGAAAATAAGAAAAGGAAACACTAAAGAGTCCAATTGCCCTTTGGAAAATTAGCGGAAGCGCAATTTGTACAATTTGTAGCAATAGGAGGTAAAAGGGCGCAGGCTCTCATTGTTTACTACAATAACGCATACAGCCTAATGAACAAGTGGGCCGAGCTCCGGGATGAAGCAGACCAAACGCACTGCCTTGCCATAATGGAGACTTGGCTCAAGTCTGATTTTTGTATCGCGGGCTTCTGTCCACCAGGATTCCAGGCT